GGCATCTTTAGGTGTTTGGATTCTGCCTACATGTAATTTCTAGAAAATATTTCTGGAAAATATATATAGTGAGGAGAACCACTAGATGGCAGTAGCAGAAAGAGCTGCAGCTACTGCAGAACTACTTAGCAAAATGAGGCTCATGTAACGTACACGTTAAATTTAAATGTACTGCTGGAGACTATTCATAAACTACAAATAGGTTTGATAAAGGCATGGAAATATTAAGCATTAGAGTCCCAGAAAAAAAACTTATTAATATTTATAAAGAACATTTTGCAACATAAAGAAAATGGGAGGACATTCTTAAAAGACAACAGACTATTTAGATACAATCTGAAAAAGTCAATCATCTGGATGTTTTCTCTGTAGGTCATAAAACATTCTGATATTTGTTGTATAAAGACAAATTTTTCTGCCTAATAAAATCGTTATATATAGCTATTCCCTGTGGAAAACATGAACTTTGAGGGACATAAAGCAGGCAATGGAGGACACCTGGTGCATAATAAACAAAAGTTATAAGACTGAGGAAAGGCCTAAAAGAATATTCAGAGCCAGGAGCAACAAAGAAATTTAAAAGAAAGAAATTATGTATGTATTGGAGGAAATGAGAGGAATAATAAAATGGACATTTTTTAAGATTTCGTAAGTGACAAAAAATGGTTTGCATTCTATTCTTAAAAGGAATTTAAAGTGGTAACAAATAATTATAACTACAGGATAGGGAATAGAACAGATGTATATTAAACCAGTAATCAGGACAGATTTAAAAAGATCCACAGGGATCATGCACTGTAGTTTGAGCCAGAGACAGCAAAGAAAATACATTCTTGAAGGATATAAAAGCCAAACACAATTGTTTTTAATGAGAATTTAGGAGGAAGAAAAAGTCACAAATGCTTTAGTGCAGAAGTCTGCTTTGTGGTTACTCTATTAGAGAATCACATGTGATGCCTCACAACCCTGTAACCCATTGTAGCTGGAGGTAGAGTCTGCCTTTTCATAGGATGTTAATGGAAAATGTACCATCATCTTTCAGTGACTTTTTCTCTTGGTGTACCCTTCTTATTCTCTTTGCCCTCTAAGAACATTACTATTTCATTTCTTTTCTTGCCTTTTGCTTTTAATCCTTAGTTAACTAACTTTTTAATGCAAATTTTAAAACTGTGGCTGCAGCTAACCGAAACACCAAACTTGGATTTACTCCTGTTACATTGCATTACTTACAAACAAGGTTGTGGTTGACCATTCATCTTGTCCTAAAGCAAAATTCGAATGACTGCAAATCAGAATACTGAGCTGTTAGTCCAGCCTCTGCTTAAATTAACTTTTAAAAAATTGAATTAAATAATTTGAAAGGCATTTCATCTTTATTAGCCTTCACTTTTTCCTAACTCTTAAATTTTAGAAGGAAGCAATCTTATTTTCAACTCTCTCTTTTTATTGTCTTTCTATACAGTTAAACACTTAACATTTTGGTTTTATGAGTTTTGGACTGATGAGACCCAAATTACCATAAATTAAATTTCTGAGATATAAAATTTGTTTCCTGTGTCTGAATGTTCTGAAAGCCTTCTATGATATATGAGCACATTCCTTTGGAAACTATGAAGAAAAATTGCTTACACTTTCACTTTCAATAGGTTAATACTATTTAATCCACCTTCCCTCTAGGCTACTTATAGAGCACACCTCAGTGGCGCCAGCACTGTCTTGCTTATCTTAATTTGGGATTCTGAGTCTAAGCAATTTACATTTACACAATGATATATCAAAATGTCTCTACTACCTTATTATATAAGCTTGAGTTTCATGAGTCACATGAGAGAAGCTACTTATTATTGAAACAGAAGAGGGGGGAGAAAAATAGAGTCATCTAAATAGGTGGCTCCAGTTCATTTTTTAAAACTTTTAAAGCAGAATTAAAAATCATTGTGTAAATGAGCTCAACTGCTTTAAAGTCCATCTTTGAAGAAAGTGAATGTAATTAATAAGGGACCAACATACCCATTTTAACAGATAGGGACAATGGTACGAAAAAGTTAAAAGCCTGTACAGAAAAGCCTGTGGAAGGAAGTTCAGCTGTTAGTAATCAGACACCTAGATTTTGAGGTTCTGGGTCAAGGTTACTTAGTAAGGTCAGTATCACCATTTATATCACCTTCTTATCTTAGCTAAAATCCGTGGACCTCCCACACCACATGCTGAAAATCACTCCTGATTTTAAAAGGCAAACTAGGGATGAAGAAACTGGAGGAATCAGAACATTCCTTCTTCAGGACAACAGCAATGAAAGACCCAGTTGGTTTTTTTTATTTGGTGGATTGCTTTGTTGTTTGATAGGGTTGGTCCCCCTTGGAGGGCATTACCATTAAAGAGGCTCAAATGAAGAGACTCTTGAGATCCTAGTCCCACCCTATCTGCCAGCGTCCCTCTTCACCTCTGGCTTTTTGCCATCAGCGGTGGGTTAGGGCCAGTGGAAAAGGTAGGAAATGTTTAAGAGCAGTACCTATGGAAACATGGAGACCCTCGTTTGAAAGGGGGAACTCCTTGTTTGCAGTGGTGATTCCTAGAAGCTTCACTAGGAAGCAGGTCTTGACAATTATGGAATGTAGTCTAGCTGTCTCAGTATAGTCAGTAGAGCTGAATGAAACATAGAGAATGTATGAGAGAAATGTTTGAGGAGACTGAAAGTTTAGGAACAGGAGAATGGAATAAGTATTTTGTTGCTGGTGTTGGTGGTGGTGGGTTTTTTTCCCCCCATAGTGAAAGCCATCAGCCATGAAGCAGGTCTTTGGCACATGTGGATGCTGATTAGAAAGAGTTTGGAGGAAGGAAGAGAAGAGGAAAATGGAACTGGAAAGGGAAGGTGTGGAAAGCCAGACTGCCTGGAGAGAAAAGGTGGGGTCCCGGACTCCGCCTGGAAAACAGGAATTCCAATTACCCAGGACCTCACACTCTGCAGCTGGTTTTAGGCCTCCCTGAAGCTCTGCAGCCATGCGTCTCCTGGGCCATCCTTGGCACTTCTCATAAATGCCAGTGGAGGGTGCAATGCTGAAATGGATTAGAGTTTACCCTGCAGGCTATTTTCTCACCCTCCGAAGAACTTGCAATTGAAGTGGAATCATAACGCTTTAAAGTTTTATATGGTTTTACAACTTGAAAAGACAAAAATTACATCTGAAAATACATGGATTTCTCATTTTAGTTGATGAGCTGAATCTAATCTGTGATTGCAAATGAGGCTCACAGAAACTTAATCTGAGAACATTACTGTACAAATAACAAATAGTCTAGTCAATGAAAACATTTTTTTCCATATACTGTCTTTAACCAAAATGGAGCATGGATTCAAAATGTGAATATTTGCTACCAAGAATTTTCAGAAAATGTTTTTCTTGTAATTGAACACAGCATTTTCTCCATTTCAAAAAAATGACCGCACGATGAGATTCTCAATTGTTAATTGAAAATTAGTATAATTAATTCTCAAAAAGTTATATAACAATTATAGTTATATAATTTGAATTTCATCACCGTGATTTTAAACAGAGGTTATTGAAACTGTCATGACAGATAATGTGAACATTATGCTACCAGGCTGACCTTCGAAGAACTATAAAGGGCACTCCCCCACCCCTGCTCAGACAGGACACAATTCTCTGCTAGTGTACACACTTGACGAATAGGGAATGGGCTGGATTTCAGTATTCACTCAGTCTTGGGCCAGGCACCTTTGTTCAAGGCATAACTCTGTTTACCACTATATTGGGGCAACCTCACTTACTACTCTACAAATTTTGTTTTATAAGTTTGCTTAAATGATCTTTTACATTTAGCAAATTGTCCACGTCGTTTTTGCATTGAGCCCCTTCAACTCTCTAAGACATATTTAGGTGAAAAGTTATAAAACTATAATAAGCCCCATAAAGGTCCAGACTGGGTCTTTCATGTTCAGCTTTTATCCTGTTATCTAGTAGAGTGTCATGTAGTAAATGTGTGATAAACATGTTTGAATGAATGAATGAATGGTAAATATTTATTGAATGAATGAATGAATGAATATTTATTGAATGAATCAATAAATAAATGATAAATAGATGAAACAAGGCATGAGCTTAAGTTTCTACATTCCTTAGAAGTTTGGTTAAATCCCTGCCTTGGGTTTCCACCATTGAAGAGGGAATAATTCTAATTATGTCATAGGATTACTGTGAAGATTTAAATGAGAATATGATAAGAAAGATATTCTCAACAGGAAAGACATTTAAACATGTTTCTATTAGGATTATTATTTAAAGTTTCAGTTATATTTCTTGAGTATATTTAGTACTTAGCAGAATTTCTAGATTGTATGCCACTTAATTCATTGTCTGATTTACATAATCCACAATAAAACAATTTTTATTTTTGTTGCTGCTTCAAAATAACATTAATGGTGAGAAATACTTTCTTAAAAAGTGTTTTACAGAATTTTCTTAATGTTCCAAATTTTTTTCTGTTCAAAACACTATCAGGCAATTCTGAGAAATGAATGGAAAATGAATAAAAAAGAATA